ATTTGGAGGATTAAGATTCATTTAAGGAATAGGAGGAATGATCAATAAACTATTTTAAAATACATAAACAGCTTTGTGCTTGACCTTGACCTTTGATCCACTTAAATGGTGTTGGAGGGGCACGTTTCTTTGTTGTTCTAGAAAGAGCTTGGCAGAGTTTCTCCAATTCCATTTCACATACAAAAATAAACAATAACAATAAACATAATAGGGAAAGTATGCTATGTATCACAAATACGTACTTCTGGCTTGTATAAAGAAAAACACTTTATTTCAAAGTGGTTTGTGGAAGAATATACTTGGTTTAAGAATAGATGTCCCACCAACACACCACTGCACACATGATTCCATCAACATAAGACACAGATAATTATAGAGATATGGAAATGCTAGAAGATTCAGCACTTTGATAGAAAAATACCCTCAGGAGCCACATGTGCAGCAATGTCACACTTGAGGGTCAATGCATGTAAATTTTTTACAATGTGCACAGAAATGAATTTAAAGTTAAAACCTAAATCCTTGAAAACATTTTGAAATGCTTGTACTGCTAGAAAATGGAACTGCTATAATCTTGAAAAAAGAAGGAAAAAAAAAGAGAGAAAGTATGACTCTGAGCAGGAGGGAGGGGAAGAGGAGAGGGAGACAAGGAGAGACAGGAAGAGCTGCGTGCAAGTGACACTTAAAGAGAAGCATTTGTTTTTGTAGTTAAGGGTGAGCCCTTTCAGGCTCCCCAAGGTATCCTGACAGCTACAGTGCTACATACAAAGAGATAACATACATATCAGCAGGTGGAGAATTGAATAATGTAAATTCATGTTGATGACTTTCTTTTTAAACCAAGAAACCATATGTGGTAACACACTTAATGAGAGATGAGTCAAAACCACTCTAGGTTACATCCATAAAATGAAATAATATGTAGTTTTTAAGAATTATACTAGAGGGATCTTTACTGATTAAAAGTTATCTATCTCCAAAGAAGGAAGGCTGCAAAACAATGTGTACAGCATGGCACAACTTTTTGAGAAAATATATTTATGCTTTTTTTACAGCGACATATGAAGCTCTCTCAATGTGATGGGGTCATGGTTTTTAATTTCCTTCTGAAATTTCTCATTTTCTACAGTTAATGTGTATTATTTGTAGAATTCTAAAAGCAACCTAAAATAAGGCAAAATTGTCATTATTTTACTTCTTCATTCAAAGACAAATCTTTCACAATAGTATCTTGAAACATGATTATAAATGGGGTGTGCTTTCAGTAACAAATTTAAAGCATGGTGGGACCCTAAATTAAGGGATAGTTGCAGTAAAGTATACCTGTCACATGTAGGTCTCTAGTTACTGCGAATCTGCAGTGAGATTTTGGTACTTTTAAACAGGATTTTCAATTCCAGAACATTTCATCATGCAACTAGTTCAGAGTCAAGTCCTATCAAATTAATTTATAGTTACACAGTTTACCGCATAACACAGTACAAAGATAAATAAATGTAGAACTTAGAAATACAAATCACAGAGCAAGAAGTGACTCCATTCAGACTCTATACCAAAGTCAGGTCTATCTTCTTCATGTAAAAGCTTAATTATAATCATTGCCATTTACGTCTACACTTAGCATAAAGTTGGGAATTCCTTCCAAGTTGCAGACAGTATTCTAAGAACGTGCCATAGTGGAAAGAACAGGACTAGGAACAAAGAACGTGGATTACATTCCCAGTTGTGCCACCAGCAAGCTGTGTGACCTTGGATAGATCATTCACTTCCACTGAGTCTGTTTCCTCATCTATAAGGTGAAGAGGGGAACTAGCAGTTCATTGTAGGTGTCTTTTTGGTTTGGAATATGGTGGAAACTCCTGTTCCACCAAGACAATGGTATTGAACTAAATATCATTGAAACACAATGATATTTAAATCAAATAATGCATAAGAACTGAAACTTCTTCAAGCTGTCCAAATATTCAGAAGAAAATAGAGCTAATATAAAATATATTTGTTCTACAGAGGTCAGCATTTTGATGAATTGTCCATCATGAATGTTAGCAATATCAAAATAATGAGTTTATAAATCATCCTGGTTGTAAGATCTATAAGACCCATTTCACTTACCTGAGATGACTCACTGTTTATAAAATATATCTATCAGTTCAGTCAATTCAGTAGCTTAGTTGTGTCCGACTCTTTGCGATCTCATGGACTGCAGCATGCTAGGTTTCCCTGTCCATCACCAACTCCCGGAGCCTACTCAAACTCATGTGCATCACGTCGGTGCATCCAATCATCTCATCCTCTGTCATCCACTTCTCCTCCTGCCTTCAATCTTTCCCAGCATCAGGGTCTTTCCCAATGACTTAGTTCTTGGCATCAGGTGGCCAAAGTATTGGAGCTTCAGCTTCAGCATCAGTTCTTCCAATGAATATTCAGGACTGATCTCCATTAGGATGGACTGGTTGGATCTCCTTGCAGTCCAAAGAAATCTCAAGAGTCTTCTCTAACACCACAGTTCAAAAGCATCAATTCTTTGGCACTCAGCTTTCTTTAAAGTCCAACTCTCACATCCATACAAGACTACTGGAAAAATCAGAGCTTTGACTAGATGGACCTCTGTTGGCAAAGTGCTGTCTCTGCTTTTTAATATGCTGTCTGCAGTTGCTAAGTCACTTCAGTTGTGTCCCACTCTGTGCAACCCCATAGACGGCAGCCCACCAGGCTCCTCCGTTCCTGGGACTCTCCAGTCAAGAACACTGGAGTGGGTTGCCATTTCCTTCTCCAATGCATGAAAGTGAAAAGTGAAAGTGAAGTTGCTCAGTTGTGTCCCATTCTTTGCGACCCCAGGGACTGCAGCCTACCAGGCTCCTCCATCCATTGGATTTTCCAGGCAAGAGTACTGGAGTCGGATGCCATTGCCTTCTCCAATATACTGTCTAAGTTTGTCATAAGTTGTCTTACAAGGAGCAAATGTCTTTTAATTTCATGGCTGCAGTCACCATCTGTAGTGATTTCGGAGCCCCAAAAAATAATCTGTCACTGTTTCCATTGTTTCCCCATCTAGTTGCCATGAAGTGATGGGACCGGATGCCATGATCTTAGTTTTCTGAATGTTGAGTTTCAAGTCAACCTTTTCACTCTCCTCTTTCACTTTCATCAAGAGACTCTTTAGTCCTTCTTTGCTTCTGCCATAAGAGTGGTATCATCTGCATATCTGAAGTTATTGATATTTCTCCAGCAATCTTGATTCCAGCTTGTGCTTCATCCAGCCTGGCACTTTGCATGATGTACTCTGCATATAAGTTAAATAAGCAGGGTGACAATATACAGCATTGACGTACTGCTTTCCCTATTTGGAACCAGTCTGTTTTTCCATGTCCAGTTATAACTGTTGCTTCCTGACTTGTATATAGGTTTCTCAAGAGGCAGGTCAGGTGGTCTGGTATGCCCATCTCTTTCTGAATTTTCCAGTTTATTGTGATCCATACAGTCAAAGGCTTTGGCATAGTCAATAAAGCAGAAGTATATATTTTTCTAGAACTCTCTTGCTTTATTGATAATCCAACAGATGCTGGCAATTTGATCTCTGGTTCCTCTGCCTTTTCTAAATCCAGCTTGAACATCTGGAAGCTCACGGCTCATGTACTGGTGAAGCCTGGCTTGGAGAATTTTGAGCATTACTTTGCTATCGTGTGAGATAAGTGCATTTTTGCAGTAGGTTGACCATTCTTTGGCATTGCCTTTCTTTGGGATTGGGATGAAAACTGACCTTTTTCAGTCCTGTGGCCACTGCTGAGTTTTCCAAATTTGCTGGCAGCACTTTCATAGCATCATCTTTTAGGATTTGAAATAGCTCAACTGGAATTCCATCACCTCCACTAGCTTTGTTCGTAGTGATGCTTCCGAAGGCCCACTTGACTTCACATTCCAGGATGTCTGGCTCTAGGTGAGTGATCACACCATCATGATTATCTGGGTCATGAAGATCTTTTTTGCATAGTTTTTCTGCATATTCTTGCCACCTCTTCTTAATATCTTCTGCTTCTGTTAGGTCTACACCATTTCTGTCCTTTATTGTGTTCATCTTTGCATGAAATATTCCCTTGGTATCTCTCATTTTCTGGAAGAAAGTCTTTCCCATTGTATTGTTTTCCTCTATTTCTTTGCATTGATCACTGAGGAAGGCTTTCTTATGTCTCCTTGCTATTCTTTGGAACTCTGCATTCAAATGGGTATATCTTTCCTTTTCCCCTTTGCCTTTAGCTTCTCTTCTTTTCTCAACTATTTGTAAAGCCTCCTCAGACAACCATTTTGCCTTTTTGCATTTCTTTTTCTTGGGGATGGTCTTGATTACTTCCTCCCGTACGATGTCACGAACCTCCATCCAAAGCTCTTCAGGCACTGTATCAGATCTAATCCTTTGAATCAGTTTGTCTCTAGAGCTAACCAAAGAAGTTTACTAGGTTCAGAGTTAATGACTTTAAATGGGGTGTGGGGGGACAGCTTTTGAACCAGCTTGATAGGGAAAATATTTTCTGAAAAGAAAATGTGCTTCTTTCTAGTGCAATAACTCTAAATTCAACCATCTTGTAGGTCTGTAAATGGTTGAGGGCAGATAAAATGATAATTCAGTTTAGAGTTTCAGAGGCTCTATTTTCTTTACTATCACTATAGATTTAGGTTCTACTGAAACTTAATATTTTGTTACCAAATTTGGTCATAGAATTAATTTTTGTGGATATAGTAAGATCTGAACAACAGACTATTAGATAAATTAGTGTTGAAAGTTATAAAAAACAAACATTTCAAGAGATAAGCAATAGTATTAATCTTATTGTTGCCATATTTGCTATGTCCACCTTAGACTCTCATTTCTTTTTATATTAAAAATTAATTTGCTTCTGTATTTTTCTTTCAAATTGCTTCCATCTTTTTTTTTTTAACAAATTGGCAGAAGGTGGAGGATATAAGTACATATGTACATATTTTTGCAATACAATAACCCTCACCTGTTTTTCTCATGAATCTTTAAGATTTCATTTGTCTGTTGAAGAAGTTGTTTCTCTAGCTTGTATGTTGATAATGAATTCTCCAGCAGTTGTATTTCAAGTCGAGAAGTTTGATTTAGCACCTTAAGATAAAAGATAAAAACATTTAAATCTTCACAGAGTCAAAATAATTATTTTTTGTTTTTTATTTAGCTGTGTTTTCTTTTAAAATAATATTTCTCTAGGATAATAAAATGGTCTACATCCTACTAAAAAATGCTTTACATGTCTCAAACTTCATATTTGTTCAAGATTGAACTATAGTTGAATGAGAAAACTGAGTTGTTAAATCCATTTTCATATTTAAATTTTCATGTCCTCAATCCCTACATGACTTAGCAACTAAAATACCACCACCACAATCCCTAGGATAGCCCACTGTGCTAGCTGCCTTATATGTGTGTGTATATATATCTCCAATATTTATAAGTACAAGATAATTGTTAGTACAAGGTCTTAGATACTATATATAACTAAGAATAACTAATAGGCATGTAAAACATATCTTCCTTGTTCCATCACCTAGCAAAAACTGATTAGAAATGTACAAAAAACTCATGATACAGTTTAGGCAGATTCATGAGCACAATTTACTGAACACCTATCATGTTAGTTCATGTCAGTCCTTCTAGATACCATCATTTCATAGATATGGGTACCCAGTGAATTAGTAAGAGGAATTATTATTATCAGTTTATAAATGAAGAAACTGAGATTCAAAGAGAAGCCAGAATCCACACAGAAACCAAGGGAAGAACTGGGTTTCAAACCCAGATACTGTGACTAATTCTAATGCTGTACACAGAAAACCAAGAGGGAGAAACAAACCATCTCGGGTCTGCATCTGAGGAAATGGAGTAATCAGGAACCCAGACTGCACTGAAGACAGACTGTTAGTTATTTTTCAACTGTATACACGGGGTTCTCCAGAAACTCTAAATGTTCACCTCATCTTGAATCACAAAGACGCATGCTGCTAGTCAGGCTTTAATATAACATGCCTCTGAGCCATGAATGCAAACCTACCCATCCTCTAAGCAAACAACATACATTCCTGTTCTAGAAGATGCCTTCAAGCTGTGCCAATGCCCTGGTCCTGTCCCTTTCTCCTCCTTCTTTAACAGAGGTAAAAAGGACAAGGAAGAAAGTACAATTAGTTTTAAAACTCCTTATGTTGTTTGAGAACTTTTATAACTACTGTACCTTTTTTAGAACACTTGTTGAAAAGGACCTGGGAAAACTTCTGGAGGGTCAGTATCAATCTAAAGGGTCCTCCTCTAAAAATGACACCAGTAGAACTTTCCTCTTTTTCTGTAGCAGGTTTAAACCTGTAATTATATAAGACTCACAAAGAAAAAGCCTTTTCAGAATATCCTGACATGATCAGGGCTGGGGCTTGGGCTAATGGAGAGATTGTAGGTGAAGAGGATGTATTGGCAGGGAAGCAGAATAGGGACTAGGGTGAAATGAAAGAGGCAACTGCCTCAGTGTAAGATTTAAGGATGAGCCAAAAACTCAATAATCAAGTAATATTTGAATGCAGCACTTTGAAAGATAAAAATTAACGTAAAAAAATATCCATATGGAACAGAATATCATTTTAAGCTAAAGATAGGATATGCCCCTACAAATGTATGATTCAGTCTTGCATAACTTGATCTCATTGCTTTCACCCCAGTCCCAGCCCTGCTGAAGGGGTTAGAGAAGAGAACACTAAGATGGGGCATTTGAGCTTTAAAAAAGTTTTAAGTAACTATAATTCATTTATACAATTATCATATTGATTACAGATCTGAAAGCTAGTCTAAAAGTTACTACTACTAATTGAAATCCATATTTTTGTTTAAAAAAGTATTTCCCATCCTAAATTATTTAATCTGAGGGAAAACAGGAGCAAGAGAACCTATGCTTTGAAAACCGAGCTAAAAGCAGCCCAGAGGAAAAAACTGTAGAGAATATAAAGATTAGGGACCCACAAGATATAATTTTCAACTATTAAACATATCTTTGGGTGAGTTTTCTGTTTGTTTATTAACAAGAATAACAATTTAGGAAATATTTAACTAGGGGATGAAACAGCTATATTTTTTGGTGAGATTTAGAACAGTGCTTGGCATAGAGAAGATGCTCAATATTTATTGAACGAATGCATTCATTGTCTCATTGAATCAAGCATATCATATGCCCTTAAAATCTATTTTCTCCTTTATTCTCTGTAGTCTCTGATCATACTTCCTGATATTCTCAAATACCAAAATTTTCATTTTACAGAGGACAGAAATTGGTCTCCATGTCTGAGAAGAACATGAAAAAACATGGAGAACAAAACGGAACCATCAAAGATTGACAATGAAGTTGCCTATGTCTATGTCTGGAGACACTACAGCCCCTAATTTTTCTCTGCGTTGTCCTACCGCCAGTCCCTGTGCTACACAGTAACCACAGTGCTCTTCTGAAAAACATAAACATATGTCATGTCCTCTGTTAGATATGCTATGCCTTCCCTTTAAGATTAGAACAAGTTCCAAAGCTCTCAGCCTAACTTTCAAGGTCCTATGTGATCAGAACCCTGACTATTTCTCAAATCTCACTTCCTTTCCACTCTCTCCCCTGCTCACTATGCCCCAATCACACTGGCCTTCTTACTGCTATCCCAACATGCCAAATTAATCTCCACCTCAGGGTCTTTGCAGTTTCCCCTGCCTGGAATGTCCATGCATTCCCAGATGCATGGATGATTTATTCTTATAATTCAAGTCTTGTCTAAGGAGGCCCATCCTGGCCAGTCTCTGTAAAGGAGCTCCCCCATCATCTTCCATCAGGTGGCCCTGTTTTACTTTTGAAATGAAATCATCCTGTCAGTTCACTCATATACTATCATTTTGCCCTGTGAAGATGTCAGCTGCACAAAGGGAGGACTAGTTCACCTGAGGCCCTTGAAACTTCCAGAGCCCAGCATGAGGCCTAGAATCCTGGATATTCAGAGCTACTTGTTAGATGCTAACCAAAGGATAGTGAGTCAGTTTTCAAGTTGGGTAATGCTCAGAGACAGAATAACAGGCCAGGTGAGCATCAAGCTGGACTTCCGTGATAACAGTCCCAATCTAAAGCCATGTCTGAATGTGGGAGAAACAGGGGGACAAATCTCAAATGTCCAGGCTAAGCCTTAGGTCATATCAAGCCAATTTTAAATACAAAAGGCAATCACTTTTCTTCTCTCTCCATCACTTGAATTCAAGAGCTGCTGTACTTCAACTCTCTCCCTTGATGCATTAAAATAAGCCTGAAGTTCAAAAGCAGGCAACTGAAGAGAATTGTACAGGAAACTATGATAAATTGACCACTTTCTTTCCATGTGTCTATGGAACTTGCTGCTTAGCAATAATCTAAGTGTTCCATTAAAATGACAAAAGACATTTCCTTCTTTAGCCTAAACATATTCCAAAAACACATATCAGAAAGAAAGAAAGAAAGAGAGAAAGAAGGGGGGAGAAAAAGGGTAACGAAAGGAAAGGAGAGGAGAGGAGAGGAAAGGAAAGGGGAAAGTGAAGAGTATGTAACACAAGCCCCCAAGAAACACTTTCAAAGCATACATTTTTCACAATGTACCATAGAGTAAGGAAGATATGGACTTCCTAGGTGGCTCAGTGGTAAAGAATCCACCTGCAGTGCAGGAGAAATGAGTTCAATTCTTGGGTCGGGAAGATCCCCTGGAGAAGGAAATGGTAACCCACTCCAGTTTTTCTGCCTGGTAAATCCCATGAACAGAGACACCTGGTGGGCTACAGTCCATGGGGTCACAAAGAGTTAGATATGACTTAGAGACTAAAACAACAAGATAAAATGATCTAAGACTTGGAACTGAGAATTTATGGACTATAAAATTTCAGTTCTTTCTTTAAAAAATAAGCAAAATTTTAACAATAAAAAGTACTATTTTCTTAAAGAAAGTGAGCTAGATAATTTCATCCAGCTTCCCTTTAATACTTAAGTGCCTCTAACCTTTCTTAAAAGGAAAATATTCCACAAAAGAAAATTCCTTTGACTGGCATATTAACTTTAAAATCTGTCTTGCTGTAGGTTTCTGTTTACTTTAACTATGTTTTTCAAATTAAAAAAAAAATAGAACACAAGGTATGATGCCTCAGCAATTAGACTTTTACAGAAGAATGAAGGCTAATGTAAGCACATGAAAGGAAAGTTAGAAGTTAGTTAGATATTCACCATTTTACAAAACCAAGGAAATAATTTATGTGGTCAGTGATGGGCAATGTGACAATGTATCAGTCTACATTTGTTAATTTCCAAGGGGAAAATGGACAATTAGAATGGAGAGCTATAGGGTCTTTTACCCTAACCAAATTAAAATTAGTGTTACCGAGAGGGTGGCAAGCTGGCATTTATGTCTCCTGATGAGATGAAATAAGAAGTGACTAGTAATTCTACAAAGCACATGCACCACCATGTCCAACTTAACCCAATTAAGCCTGTAGACTTAACTTTCAGTTAAAAAAAATACAGGGGATGGAAAAGTAAATTAAAAACACATCATAAAGAAATATTCAGACAAATTAAGAATATGAGACACTATACAGAACAACTGACCAAGTCTCTTTGAAATCTCAAGAAAAACAAAAAGTTAAACAGAAAGACAAATAGTGTATGTTATCACCTATATGAAGAATCTAAAAAAACAAACTAGTGAATATAACAAAAAAGAAACAGGCTCACAGTTATAGAGAACAATTTAGTGGTTACCAGTGGGGAGAAGGAAGTGAGGAAGGGTCAAGACAGAGGTAGGGGACTATGGGGTACACACTATTATGTATTAAATAAATGGATCTTCCCTGGTGGTTCAGCGGTAAAGAGTGCCTGCAATGCAGGAGATGCAGCTTCAATCCCTGGGTCAGGAAGATCCCCTGGAGAAGAGCAGGACAACCCACTCCAGTATTCTTAGTGGAGAATCCCATGGATAGAGCCTGGTGGACTACAGTCCATAGGGTCACAAAGAGTCACACAATGACTGAAGCGACTGAGTGTGTATACATACATAAAATAAACGTTACAATGATATATTGTACAA